AGACTCAACTATTTTCTGCCATTCTCCAGCTGTGGCCCTTGGAGAGTCTTTAGCCACTCAAACTCTCCTCCTCACCATGCATTAGGACTATATAGACACACGTCCTCTTCCAGGCAGATTTGTAACATTTTCTGTTGATTGGAAATTCTTAATTATTGCCCTGATGGTGGAAATGGGAATTTTCACTGCTCTAGCTCTTTTCTTAAAGTCACTTTCTAATTTGTGAAGCTCAATTATCTTTTGCACATCAGAAATATATTCTTTGGTTTTTCTCATTGTGATGGATGATTAAGGGAATTTGGCCTTTGTTTTCCCTCCTATTTATATTTCTGTGAAACAGGAAGCCATGGCTGGATAATTTCATGTTCATAATCACCCTGGAGTGCTCAAAATTGTAAATATGAATGAGAATATACTTCACAGATATTTTACTCATAAGAATTTCTAGGGGTGCCAATAATTGTGTCCAACGTGTATTTGAGACAAAACATTTCATAATGAGATTTTCCCCCATTTTCAATTGTTTTAGTTCAATGAGATTAATGACTTCAATGAGATTAATTATCAAGGTTAGATATTTGTTAATTTTTTTTAAATAAAAGATCAAAATGATTAACAATGCAGATTTATTTTCACAGCCTTCTTTGATCATATTTACCAAGGGTGCCAATAATTCTGACCACAACTGTATATAGACTAAATGCTAAAATATCACTATGCAAACCAAAAACGTCAACCAATACAATTTCAAAAGCCAGTAATTATGAATGAACATCTAATTATCAATTTTGCTATATTTCACAGTGAAACCCACCAATAATAATTAGAGAATTATGTAATTAGCATAAGGGTCAGTTTGTTCAATTATTGCAATAATTGTGCATTCTGTAATCAACACCGTAAGACAAAAATTGATTGTTAACACTTGTTGCACTTCCCCCAACAATTTCTTGACATAAGCTGAGGACAATATGAATGCTATAAATAAATTAATATCTCTGAGACTGCATGTCATAGCTCACAAAACACTTACAACTCGGGTTCTCATTCACACAAATACTCACACAAACTTACATTTTCTAGATTAAAATAAAGACATTAGCAGGATCTATGTGGAAAGTGCAACATATTTAGGGCTGCACTATTATGGCAAAAATCATAATTGTCGATTATTCCCTTGAAATTGTGATTATTAATTACGATTGTCACAATTTACATTGAATGATGTTTATACCATTGTTTGAACCAACCGATGAAAATAAACAAGAAAACACTAACTGAAAAACTTATTGCTTTTCTATAGCATTAAGCCTCAAGTGTTATAATGTTATATTAAAACTAGAATTAAAACAGTGGAAAAAGCCTTAAGATTACCTATAGAAAGAAAAAAACATCTTAAGCACACAGAATAACATAAGTGGACTTTGAACGATTAATTGCCGTTTTGAACGATTACGTAATTGTGGCATCCGTGATTGTAATTGCGATTAGAAATTCGATTAATTGTGCAGCCCTACAACATATGTAAAAAAATAAACCCAACCACTAGCAAAATTAATGAGCAAACGTTTAAAATCTTTTAAAAACTGCCTATATGGGGAAGTCGTGGCCTAATGGTTAGAGTCGGACTCGTAACCCAAGGTTGCGGGTTCGAGTCTCGTACTGGCAGGGATTGTAGGTGGGGGGAGTGAATGTACAGCGCTCTCTCCCATCTTCAATACCACGACTGAGGTGCCCTTGAGCAAGGCACCGAACCCCCAACTGCTCCCCGGGCGCCGCAGCAAAAAATGGCTGCCCACTGCTGCTGGCCTAATGACGCAAACTAACCGTGGTTCGGACCTAATATGAATAATATGAATTAGGGCTGTGTATCACCAGCAAAGTCACGATACGATGCGTATCACGATACGATACGATACATGACTGCACTGAATTTCACCTCAGCAATATTTAAAAAATCATTTACATTGATGGTAGGTTATCATTGCACAAATTAACACTCAACAATTAAAAAAATAAAAAATGAGGAGTTCTAAACTAACGCGCTGTCTTCACTGTATCACGCTCAAGGCTGATTTAAGGCTGATTTATATTTAATACTTATAAGAATAGATAAATAAAATAAGGTGAATAAAAAAATAGATAATATATATTTCAATGCTTTTGTGTTTGCTAACAAAACATTTGCATTTTTTTGGAAAAGTATTACATTCCCCTGATAAACGTAGTGTTCACTTGCAAAAAATATTGAAATATATGGTTTATTCTGAATATTTGGGATGTCTCTGCTGTTAACATTGTTTTGTTGGCATACTAGGTAAAGTTACCTAGTTGATATTGCTTTTTTCTGGTATTTGCATGAATAGAAATTCAAATTACATATTGTTTTAAGTACTTTCGTTTTTGTGTTTTGTAAATATGCAAATACGGACAAGAAAAAAAGCAGTCTTTTTCCAAAATAATGCAAATGTTTTGTTAGCAAACACAAAAGCATTGAAATATATATTTTTATCTATTTTTTTATTCACCTTATTTTATCTATTCTTATAAGTATTAAAGAATGCAGACTCCAACAGAGCAGTACTTGTCCATTCTTGTCACAATAATGAGTGGTTCACCCACAGCTTCCTCAATCCTTTGTCAGCTCCTGCTTCCTCCATTTTCAGAATGAAACAAACTGTTAAACCTATAAAATACTTGATGAAACCGAATCAGCTAATTGAGTTGTGTTAGGTTCTTATTTCAGTTATAACACTCACTAAATAACTTTAATGTGAACTTAACATTGTTTTGTTTGTGCTGTTCAATATAGTAATTCACAGAGATACACCTAGATACTGCAAAGTGAAAATGATATAACAGTGTAGACATTAAATTATAGTTTAAGCATATACAGTCTGAATTTCAAAAATATGCATAAATCTCATACTTTGTTACATTTATCACTAGGTTTAGTAGACAAGGGACTCATATGTATAAAAAAAAAGAAAAGTCACAGATAACGATGGTAGTCACACAAGAGTTATCACCGATCACCAGTCTGATAAATGATGCCGGATTTTTTTTTTTTATACATACATACATACACACACATACACCATACATACCTACATACCACACACACACACACACACACACACACAATCTTCCACAAGGCTAATGTTCCATGAAATGTGGTTCCCAAGAGGAGTTATTTTCAAGCAATGCTTCACCCTTGCATTTTACTCACACACCAATCTGATTTCACACAATCAAACTTGTTAAATAGTGTGCCCGTCTTTCTCAAATTGAACACCGAACATATTGTAAAGAATGGACAAAAAGAGCTTAAGTCAATGAGGTCTAAAACTTTTAATCTCCAAAATAGGACATACATATATAGGTAGTGTGAATAAATCCATCAGCTTCAGTAATCACTATTGCATATTCCAAGTCTACATTCTCACTGCAAGCATTAGTGCTCAATTCAGATTTTTTTGGTCAAATCAGATTTTTTTATATGGCTGTTCACATTTTCAATTTTAAATGTGGCCAATATCAGATTCCAATGTGAACCAATAACGATCCTGAACTGACCCACACACTCAAAAAAAAAAAAAAATAAAAAAGGGATAAGACGGCATGAACCGTGCTGTCATACTGAAGTAAACACGGAGGCCACTGCAGTAAGTATTTAGGCGTTCATTTACATCTCACCAGAATCGGATTTAAGGATCACATATGAAAAGCCTCATTCAGACTGTCAGCCCAAATCCAAATTTTGTGCAAATCCGATTGAAATTTGATCAGATAATCTAAACTTCAACGAACTACGGGAAATACGAGTTTTGCAAATCCGTTTCGAGCTACATTCATACGTGGTTTGAAATCCTACTCAAATCGCATTCCTAGAAATCCGTTTCAGTCTGGTCAGAACAGATTTAGGGGGGGGGGAGTGAATGTACAGCGCTCTCTCCCACCTTCAATACCACGACTGAGGTGAGACCCTTGCAAGGCACCGGATATGGCTGGAATATGGCTATATGGCTGCCCACTGCTCCGGGTGTATGTTCACTACTGCGCGTGTGTACACTTGGGATGGGTTAAATGCAGAGCACAAATTCGGAGTATGGGTCACCATACTTGGCCACACGTCACTTCACTTCAGAATGTGAATGTAGCCAGTATGAGATTGGATCAAACTGTGACCAAAAAAAAAAAAAAAAAGAAATAAAACCTGACAGTAGCAGATGTTTGACCTTAAATAAAGGGATGGTTCACTCAAAAAGAAAGAAAATTCTCACTTACCCTCATGTCATTCTAAACTTGTAAGACTTCCTTCTGTGAACCACAAAACAGGGCATTTTAAAGAATGGTAGCCATTGACTTTCGCCGTGTAGAGTACATGGTTGATGATTTTAACTTTCTGGGTAAACTATCCCTTTAACATTTTAAGGTTTGTGTTTCCATGTCTTTGTTTTTTTTTTTTTGAGAGTGAATAAAATAGCACATTTTCAATTGTGATTCATTCATCATACAACAAGCCACTTCACTATACACTACCTTTATGTAGTTTTTGGAGTTTTAAAGATTTGGATTCTATTCATTTTCATAAAAACATCTGGAACACCCTTCTAAATGCGGAACAAAGCAACACTTGTTTTGTACGAGTTTGGAATGACATGAGGATGAGTAAATGATGACTTCTGATGAATTATCATTTGTGAACTGTGTTAACCTGTACAAGTTAAACCTATAAGAGTAAACCTCACTCAATGTCAATTGCACAGAAACATAAGATATGATAGTGTTGGACACCATTTTTCTTTCAAGTACAATATTCAAAGAAATAAGACCAAAACCTTTCAAACCGAAAAAAAAAAAAAAAAAAAAAAAGTCTTCTTCCAGGGTCTGTTAAGAGGTACTGTAATGCTCTGCACTGTCCCCATGTTGCCCCCAGAAAATTTCACCAGCTTGTTCTTTTGCAACAAGGGTTTTATCAAGCACAACAGCTGAACATAATGGCATTTAATAGTTTACAAATATCAGCAGGTCAGCATGGTGCTGTGCATATTTCTCCACAGTCTCATAGTCTGCCCAGGGTCACGTTGGTGCACCAGGAGCAGGTCTTTGTGTACACAGGGGTTCTCTCGATCTTGTTCCCGAATGTCAAAGGTCTTGAAACCCTCGTGTTTCGTTGCAGTGATTCCAAGTGCCTTGAAGCACATCCCGTTGTAGACGTCATCAATAGGGAAGAAGGGTATGTAAAAGGAAACGTGGTAAAGAGATGGAAGAAGGTTTCCAGAAAAGAGGAATCCACCGCCACCAGCATAAGGAGGGTAAGGACCTTCATAGAATGACTGAGGAACATAATATTTGATTTTAGGGTCCCGTAACGGGTTGGCAGCAGAAATTATCTGCCCGGTGTACAATGCCGTGGCCTGTTCAGGCTCCAGAGACTTCAGATGATTCAGTATCGCTTGAGTGTTAGCAAAAACATCATCGTCACCCTTAAAAATGAAAGACACATGAGGACAGTTATCAAGCATCCACTTGAAGAACACATGCTCCTTTAGAGTCAGGTTGTAAAAGGAGTCATGAAAATCCCAGACAAGAAGATCTTGAAACTGCTGAGCTTCAAATGAAACCAGTTTGTCGAGCTTGGGATCATCCGCAGATGATCGGCCTAGCAGAAAGACAGTTCGTACTTGAAGTCCATTTTCATACAAGCCTTCTCTTCCCCAGGTCTCTCGAACTGCTTGGCGCCTCTCGAAGTTCCTCGGGATGGATTTGATCGCAAAAAGGAGGAAAATTTGATCCTCTCTGTTCTCTGACGCGCACTTGTCAGGCTGATCTATAAGAAGTGGTGGGTCTCGACACTGCATGCCTCTAAGGAAGTCCCCATAAAGTGGAGGGTACGAATGAACATCTTGAATGTTGGTTTGTAGCAACTCAAAACTCTCAGGCTGACAGTTGAACTTGTCAAGTGGGCCTTTCTGCGTTTGATTGTCAGTGGAATCAAACTGCCTGAGGAGAGAATGAAGCTTCCGGTTCCAGAAAGCACCGTTTTTGGGAATGCCTTTTCTGAAAGTCTCAGAAATTGTAAGGGGTGGAAGTTCATACGGCGCAACACTATAGGTTTTCTTTTTGATACTGCTGACAACTACAGTTGTAGGATTTCTAGGTGTGGTATCTGGAACTGAAGTGATCTTGGCCAAGTCTTTTTGTTCGTGTTCCACATCTTTTAGTTTGGAAAAGAAAATGACAAGGCAAAAGCTGCTAGCTATTGCTACGATGAGTAATTTCATATACTTCTTTTTCATTTTACAACAACTCTGTTAAGAGAAGTGCACTCTTGAGAAGCAAGTAGGGATGTTGGTCTTTACAGGAAGTGGTGGGGATTCACACAACAGAATGTACTTGAAGCACCGCTCTGTCTCTTCATTTGTCTTTGTGGAATCAATGTTAGCTGATCATGGATTTGCTTTTTATAGGCAGAACATGCATCTTCCACTGAATTCGGTTTCTTCAAATAAAATTCCCATTGATGTCAAGTTGAGCTGTGAGCCTAGCAGACACAAGAAACAGTAACGCTAGTGAGATCACAACACGACAGTCAAACGGTTTAGTTGTTTATATGAAAACATTATGTAGCATACCAGATGGCTTCCTTTAAGAAATTGCTGAGGTTTGTGTGGGTGAAGAATGCTGTCTGTCACTTACGAACAGGCTGACAGTTAATGTGCGGGTCACTGAAAAAAGACAGTCAAGTCATTCATTTAACCTCATGTTGGTCCAAAGAAGCATGCATTTCTTTC